GAGACCCTATCTCTAAATAAATTACAAAAAATAGGGCTGGGGATATGGCTCAGTGGTCAAGTGCTCCTGAGTTCAATCCCTGGCACCAAAAAAAAAAAAAAAAAAAGTATTGAGGATTACAAGGGTATGCCAATTGTGACACATTAGTATTTAAGACTGTTAGCCCACAGCTGCTAGATCTTCAACTGAAAGAGAAACCCCAAAAAAAAAAAAATTGCCCATAGGTATATGAAATCTCATTTTCAGGCAATAGTAATTTATCACAGGGAAAAGGAGGGGGAGGAAGCATAAGGAAACTGCCATGAATGCCAAACAAAATACAATTTCAACTCAAATCTGACCCAACAGAATGACCAGTTTGAAATGTGAAAGACAAACTCACTAGAATTTTATTTCTAGATCACAGTCTAGTGAACAGGGACTGTACTTGTCTTCACCACTATATGCCCAATTCCTAGGACAAGTAAGTGCTCTATGTTGTCAAATGATTCCATTTCTGTATGTGCTTTCAAATGCTTGCTCATGCTTTGGGGCACTGACGGGTTACTGGTGAATGAACCCAGGGCCTCCCACATGCTAGCTAGGCAAACCATCTACTACTGATCTACCCTTTTTATTTTGAAACAAGATCTTTATTAGTTGCCCAGGCTGGCTTCAAAATCGTGATTCCCCTGCCTCAGCCTTCCAAGTAGCAGGAAAGTATGTACCACCACACCACACTCAGCCAGCTATTTCTTTTGCCTAAAATATCTAGTCCCATTTTATCCACTCAATAAAAWCCTAGCCATCCTTCAAAGTGCAGCTTGTTTAAATTTCTCCAAGTTTTTCCTTACATGTTGTCTCCTTTCCTCTCAATCCCCAAAAATTACTTGCTTCCCCAGTATGTTCATTATGTATATGTTCCTTGCTGTGTAATTTAATCCTCAACTTTAAATACACCCTATTACAGTTTAACATGTATTTTTTTATTATATCCTACAAATCTAGAAGCTCAAGAAAACATTCTCTCATCTTAGAAATTCCTAGCCACAGGTATAGTTTCTGCCTGATATATACAAGGCAAGTGTTTGTAAATTGACTACATCATTTTTATTCTGTGGTATTTTCTGAAAATAATTTTTGAATATTGAAAATATTATTTTTTGTATTCATATTATATCCCAAAACATTTGTACCAATTTATAACACAATTAAAGTGTTTCAGTATAAACACTTCACCATCAAATGTCACCATCTCTAAAATTTATTCTATTTGGGGGCTTAATGATATTGCAAAGGTRTGCTTTAATTACAAGTTTCTTTCAAGACAAATGAAAATGACATTGTTTTCTTAAATACAGATGCCTCCACATGTGACTTCATTATAGTTCTGGTGCTTGAAACATTTTAAAACTACTTTTTTTTTTTTTAAGAGAGAGAGAATTTTAATATTTATTTTTTAGTTTTTGGCGGACACAACATCTTTGTATGTGGTGCTGAGGATCGAACCCGGGCCGCACGCATGCCAGGCGAGCGCGCTACCGCTTGAGCCACATCCCCAGCCCTAAAACTTCTCTATATAGAAAAATAATACCAGCAGGGATGTGAGGACGTATCCCTCCATTATAGCTCTGAATTATGGTAGACATAAACACAATACTGTTATAAACAAAATTATATGTTCCAATTAAAGTTCTAGCACCATGAATAGATGTGTTATCTCTCAATTGTCATTATATCATCTATAAAATGGGAACAAAATCTGCCCTGCCCACTTTACAAGACTTAATATTGTAATCAAATACAACATAAAAGCAATCTTGAAACCATAAATTGACCAACTCAACAAACACTGTAYCTATCATGTGCAAAACACCACAAAAATAGGCAAACAAAACCAGAGAGTGGTACTTAACTGTATCAGACCATATCCCATTTTTGTAACAAATTATTTATACCGCCTCAGTAGCTCTCTTGTGGTAGCCCATAATCCCAGCAGCTCAGGAGGCTGAGGCAGGAGGATGACAAGTTCAAAGCCAGCCTCAGCAAAAGCAAAGTGCTAAGCAACTCAGTGAGACCCTGTCATTAAATAAAATACAAAACAGGGCTACAGATGTGGCTCAGTGGTCTAGTGCCCCTGAGTTCAATCCCTGGTACCTTTCCCCATCCCCCCCAAAAATGAAAAATTCTAACTTACTTACACCTATTTTTAAAAATCTAGCAATGTCCTGATTGTAAGTTCAAGGATGAAAAGATCAATATACAATAAAAATGTATATTTCAATATGCAGGCATATCAACTAACTTATAATGTATACTAAAGAAATTAGAGACTGGTGATATAACTCCGTGGTAGGGTACATGATTAGCATGCCCAAAGCCCTGGATTCAATCCCCAGCACCAAAAAAGAAAAAAGAAAGCAGGAAGTTTAAATGCTTGCATTTAAATACAGAATCATAAATATGACAGTTACAAATTCAGACCTTCTAAGATATATTTATCTTATATATATAATGATGTGTTGGTGACCCAGACTGTCCCAAACAGTGAACTTCTGATAAAGTTCCAAAGAAAAGAATTTTAATTAAGAAACTGAGTTAAAGGGCTGGGGATATAGCTCTGTTGGTAGAGTGCTTGCCTTGCATGCACAAGGCCCTGGGTTCAATYCCCAGCACTATGAAAAATAAAAAAAGGAAATGAATTAAGAAAATTTAATTCCTAGAAAATTGGGTATATATTAAGACAGAATTGAGTTCTAGACTAATTTCCTCCTACACATATTTCTGGGACATTTTAAAGGCTTGTGGGATGCAAGATAATTCTTCACTGTCTCCCCCAGACCCCAGCCATGAAGCTCCTTTCACAAATGACCACAATGCCCCTTCAGGACAAATTACAACTCCATTAAAAATTACTGATCCTGACTGTGCATGATGGCTCACACCTGTAATCCCAGTAACTCAGAAAATTACAGGTTCAAGGACAGCCTCAGCAATTCAGCAAGATCCTGTCTCAAATTTTTAAAAAATAAATTAAAAAAAAAAAATCTAAAGGAAATAAATGTGGATGTAGCTCAGTAGTTAAGTGCCCCTGAGTTCAATCCCAAGTACTAAAAAAGAAAAAAAGAAAAAAAAGAATTACTGATGCTGGTCAGCATGGATGTATGCATATAGTCCCAGGGACTCAAGAGGCTGAGGATGGACAATCATTCCTGGAGCCCAGAAGTTAAGGCCAATATGAACAACACAATGAGATTCCTTTTTTTTTGGAAAGGCAGGCTACTGATATTGGGGATGGGGGTATCAATGGTAGAATGTGTCCTTTGAATAACAAAGAACTTATGTTCAATCTTCACACCCAAAAGGAAAGAAAACCTTATCTAGAATATCTAAACATATTATCACCAAAAAAAAAAAAAAAGCTAAAAGAGATGTATAATTCAAGTGATTTGCAACTATAAATGAGAATGCATGAAAGGGTTATAGGTAATCTAAGTCTTGTCATMATATGAGGATAGAGCTGGCTTTATTAGTTACAACCAACCCCCAATTCATCAATAACAAAAGAGAAAAAAAATCATCAATAGCTTAAAACAAAKATTTTATTTTCTGCTTATGCTATTTGTTCATCACAGATCACCTGGTGGCACTGTTCACTGTCATCTCTTTTAGGGATTACACTGATAGAGGCTCCAACTCTACATATGTCCTTAAATAGGAGGGAAGGAATAAGACAGCTCATACACTATCTTTTAAAGACTATTAGTTATACTCAAATTTGACTGGTTAGTCAAATGGCCATGCCAGTAATTCTCAACTAGGGGCAACTCAGTCACTCAAGGGA